TTTTAGAGTTTTAATGCTTGGGGAAACTTTTAGACATCAAGTGATGTAGTCCTGGTAATTTCAAGAATGGCTAGTTGGATAATCACTGTTTGTTTAAAGGAATAGATAAAATTAGGGTTATAAATTGTTACTACACGGCCAGAAATGTATTACCATCTCTTTACTTTTATAATTAATCAGTCTGTGGATCTGTTCTTACTTATTCCGTCCTGTATTATGCAAATTCACATTTTCTTCTTATATACGAGAAATGTACCGTAACTATTTGTTATTTTTTATATTATTAAACCAACTGCCCTGGTAATGTCTATTGTACATTTATACGGTTGGATTCTTCCTGACAGTGTCTATTTACTGCAGGTCCAGCAAAGCGTTTCCCAGTGGCCACGGTAAATAATATTTTAAAGGATGTCCTTACAAGTTATCTCCAGGAGGAGAAATATGAAGCTGAGTTTTGCAGACAGATGACGAAAACCATCTCAGAGGTAGTGAATGCATTGAGTTTGCTGTTTTATTTTAAAGGGACACTCTAGACCCCTAAAGCATTTAAACTTTCTGAAAAGCTTTGTGTGAAGAGTGTGTCTTCTTTTCTTTCATTTACGATATAGTGAAGATTTCAATAGAAATTTACACTTTTATTAGTTATACTGGTTACCACCCCCTGGCTTTTCAAGCAGACAACCGGTCCTTTTACTTCCTGGTTTGGTTGGCTTATTTGCACTAAACTCAAGAGGCAGCAATTGTCCAGAGCACCTGCCTTGCAAAGACTTCTCATTGAGCTGCATTGGGAAGTCTGTGATTGGACAGCTACAGAATATATGGGCGGAGTTAGAAGGGGAGGTTTGCAAAGGCAGCAGACGGGAGATCTGCAGTTTTTGCAAGTTGTTTTTAGATATAATTCCAATTAAAAAAAACTCATAATAAAATGCATGCAAGTTTCAATTTGGGTATACCTACTAAATAGTGATTTGTATTTATTTTGTATTTGGGCAGTGGAGTATAACACATTTTAGCTTAATTACTGGAATATTAGGTTGACGCTCCAAGATCTGCTTGGCTACTAAACTCTTCATCTAATTACACTCCCAATTTAGTGTGTACCCACAGCTATAAACCATTTATAAGGTTTAAATGATTTTGAAGATTTGGCACCTAGCTTTGTGAATGCTATCGTATTCCATGTTTACCTTTGCTTTATCGTGTGTCTGTTTCCAGGTTATTAAGGCCAGAGTGAAGGATCTCATGATCCCTCGATATAAGATTATTGTGCTGATCTACATTGGGCAGCTGGGCGCTGAAAGTATGAGAATCGGGAGCAGATGCATCTGGGATCCTGCAAATGATACGTTTTCATCATATTCATTCAAGAACAGCTCGTTGTATGCACTGGCCAACGTGTATGCTGTGTACTATGAATAGGAGAACGTCAGGAATCATACACATACCGTACTGAGACAACATCCTAAAGTGAAATCATCCTGCCTTATTGTTTTAATGGATAAAGCTGTACTTCATTGATTCCAAATTCTATTAAATTATATAGTGTATTTCTAGAAGGCACAGATTCAGATGTGTTTACTGTCAGGGAAAGAAAAACAAATTTAAATTAAAGTTTTATTCAGCCAATCAGAATTCAGTTAGCTATGGAATGATGGCCATATGCTATAATGTGCACGTATTCGAATAAAATCATGGCCGCCTCTAGTCTGAGGTGAATTGTAGATTTCCTGTAGTAAAACGTTTTACGTGCAAAATGTTTACATTTTTAAATCTTTAGATGCAGGGTTTTTTTATGTATCGACTGGCATTAATTGAATCATTACATCTGTATGAGTTGAAAGCAATGGAATGTTTTTATGGCAACGGCTCCGAACTTTTGAGATTTTGTAATCTGCAAACATATTGTGCCTTATATGTACTGTATATAAATGAACCTTTGATTCCCAATTTCTATCAGACTGTTCCCCATTATACTTTATTTAATATATATTAAAATAACCAGTATTATGGTGAAAATTACCCTATAAACCACGGCTCTTCAGTACATACTGTTTGCTAAAATGTGGACGTTACACTCCATTTTTATCGTAATCCATATATTCTAAAACGTGTATCAAAAATTATATGGATTTGATTTATTTTGTTAATAGTATATGTATTAAGAAGACTGAGCTATCCCAGCTAATTATTTTCCTCACACTACCTTCAGTGGAAAATGGTTAAACGCCAATGCACGTGCATGTTTTCCTTCCCCTTAAAATGAATAGGTGCTGCTTGTGCACATGCCGTATAGCAGGGGTACCCAATAGGTAGATCCCCAGATGTTGTAGAACTACAACTGCCATGATGCTTTGCATGCATTTAGAATGCTTTAGAATGACAAAGCATCACTGAAGCTATAGTTCCACAACATCTGGGAATCTTCCTTTTGGGCACCCCTGTCGTATATAATATACATGCACACTTAATACAGTCTAACAGACAAAAATAAGTGAGGCAGAGAGAAAGTTAACACCTTAAGGACACATGACATGTGTGACATGTCATGATTCCCTTTTATTCCAGAAGTTTGGTCCTTAAGGGGTTAAAGGGGCACTATAGTCACCAAAACAACTTTAGTTTAATGAAGCAGTATTGGTGTATAGAACATGCCCCTGCAATGTCACTGCTTAATTCTCTGCCATTTAGGCGTTAAATCACTTTGTTTATGAACCCTAATCACACCTCCCTGCATGTGACTTGCACAGCCTTCCTAAACACAAAGAGACATCTAAAGTTTATCCTTCCTTTATTGCAAGTTCTGTTTAATTTAGATTTTCTTATCCCCTGCTATGTTAATAGCTTGCTAGACCTGGCAAGAGCCTCCTGTATGTGATTAAAGTTCATACCATTGTTTAAGATAAATTACATCTGATTGAAAGTGAGACCATTTTTTTCCATGCAGGCTGTGTCAATCAGAGCCAGGGGAGATGTGACAAGGGTTGCATAAATAGAAACAAAGTGATTTAACTCCTAAATGGCAGAGGATTGAGCAGTGAGGCTGCAGTGGCATGATCTATACACTAAAACTGCTTCATTAAGCTAAAGTTGTTTTGGTGGCTATAGTGTTCCTTTAAAAAAAAAGAGAGAAGAAAGAATGTGTACTAGTAAAATGTGTATATTAACTTAGAGATTTCTCAAATATTCCTTTATTTAATTGAACTGATAATATTTAGCATATAATTTACTGTAAAATGTACTGTAAAAGGAAAAAAATTGACAGAATTGAAGTGATGCCTCTGGCTAAATCGTTTCTGAATCACATGAAACATTTTCCCACGCTGTCGTCAACGCAGTTGCAAATAGAACATTGTGTAGGAATTAAATGTCTCAGGCTAAATGGTAAATCTTTAAATTACTAATGAATAGTGATGTCCCGAACGGTTCACCGAACGGTTCGCCGCAGACGGCGAACATAAACATAAACTTTGACCCTGTACCTCACAGTCAGCAGACACATTCCAGCCAATCAGCAGCAGACCCTCCCTCCCAGACCCTCCCACCTCCTGGACAGCTCACTAAGAATGCAGCTTCACAATAAATGTAAAATGGATGCTGTCCAGGAGGTGGGAGGGCCTGGGAGGGAGGGTCTGCTGCTGATTGGCTGGAATGTGTCTGCTGACTGTGAGGTACAGGGTCAAAGTTTATGTTTATGTTCGCCGTCTGCAGCGAACCGTTCGGGACATCACTACTAATGAATTAGAAACAACTTGATTATTTATTTTTTTATTTTTTCTGTATATGCACGAGCTGTATTGAAAATATCTATTTGATTTATGTTTTGGAGTAAGGCTATTCCTAACGTTGATATAATGGGACAAACAGTTTGAAAATAACCTAATTTAATGCTTTTAAAGAAAGGCAAAAATAAAAAGTGGGAAAAAATTAAAACAGGACCAATAATTTCACTTTAAGTTCCTGTATTTGCTGTAAAGCCTCAGTGTTTGCAGCTTCTGCAGTGAGTTCCCACTAAACAGCTTACTGGTTTCCTTTGCAATTCTCATCATTTGAGGTCAGGAAGCCAAAGAGACAATGATATAATCTTGGTATTGAAGGTGTGTAGGTAAATAGCCAGAGTTACCATGGCAATACAGGTGTTATTCTGGGTTAAAGTTCTAAATGTTGTCTAACCATTGCTGGAATAGGGGTTCATGGAGCTGTAGTTGAAGTTTTTGATTGGGCTAAATATATCTGGATATAACAAAAACTGGCATTTATATTTAAAATCACATCCACAAAAACTACTAACTACTTAGTGAACTAGGATTGCCTGTTAGCAACATATTACGGATTTTGATATACAAAAGAGATTAAAATTCTAAGAACACCCGCTTAAGACCATCCATTCGTTCTCCTGTGCTTAGTCCTGAATTGCAGAGATTGTTCAATGGCTGAGACCGTCCCCCGGACTTAGCTCAGACTGGGAGATTTTGGCTCTCTGTAGGCTGTAGTGGAGGCAGGGAGGGGTGTATGGCAGACCCCATTTGAATCATTGTAAAATGGTTTGATTACTTACATTGGGTGGGGGCACAGGACCTTTCTGGCACCATAACTACTGTAGTATGCTGTGGTTGTGGTGCTTGGAGAGTTCCCTTAGTAGGGTAATGCAATAATGGCGTCTGACTGAAAATGATGGGAATTACGTTCCACAGCACTTGCAGGCAGATAACCCTTAGTTCTATGTGACTATCCCTTCAACCCCCTCCAACCCTTAACAGCTGTGCCAATGATAACCTGTTCCCCAATCATAAGGGTCACAGGTAGTTGCACTTTACAATACTGAGTGTGTAGATTTAGTGGAAGCCATTTTGTGGATTTTATATTTATTTAATATAGTTGTGCAGCTGTAAGTTTAGTCATTTCTCCTGTCTCTTTCTCAGAAACCTTTTGTTAAACACTTAATGTGGAATGTCCGCACAGGTACAAAGAAAAAATACAACACATGATTCTAACTCATTCCCAGCAGACAGCATTTATTACATTTCTTTAAATACAAAGAACTTTTTTTTTATTATAAACTTAAGTCTAAATATCTAGGACCACAAAGAATGATAAAGATTTACTGGGGTGAATATTTTGAAAACAGAAGTAGTGGATTTATTGATCTGGATGTACCTCCCCCAGCAGGAATTTATTTTTACACACATATAGGGTGCCAGAGGGATGCTTTGCCTATTCTTATGGCACCCGAAGAACTAAAAAATTCTTATTTAACACAGTGAGCTTAAATCCTTTTTCTTGCAGCCGGTTTTGCAGCATGCAGTGGTCAGTAGCTCGTTGAGATCACGTCTCTCTTGAAATGAATTTTTCTCAGAATCCCAAAAGTCTTCCATCGATTCGCTATGTTGGACCTCTTCAGTGTGGGACTTTAATTTCTGCAGCTGAAATTCCGAAGGTTCGCTGGCATCGATATTTCCATTATGTAAATCGAAGATCTGTCCCCTGTCTATGGAAGAACACAATATTACATTATTAAAGTGATAATAGCATATTAATAACATACATTGATACATTTTGTATTCCAAAAAGTATGAATATCTCAGTTGTGTCTTTGGCTAACACAAGATCAAAAGGGTTGAGCCAACTGGCATTTCTACCACGAGTGTCATACTACCTCTATGCAGGGACGTATTAGCCGCGAGGCAAACAAGGCATTTGCTGTGGGCGGCATTTTCCAGGGGGCGGCAAAAAAAGACGTCCCCAAATGCCCAGGGCAAATGTCTTGTTAGCCTTGCGGCTAACTAAAAATCAGGTCGGGCAGGTGGCGCTGGCGAGGGAGCACCGCAGAGTGATGCCGGGATACGGAATATGACTAATCAGTGCTCCCTCGCCAGCGCCTGCCCTGTAGCCCCACTGGACCCCGGGGAAAGGGAGAACCCCTTCCCCCCCCAGCATTCCCTGGGGCTGGGCAGCACAAAACCAGGATACACCACTGCCTCTGCATGATACACAATGCCATTGTAATGAAAAGTCCAATGTGGAACAGTCTGGCAGGTACTAGGTACTAGGTACCAGGCAAATAAAATCTTTTTTTTAATTTGTTTTATAATTTAGCACAATAAGTATTCACCCCATTTGCCACCAAATAATAATTTTTAAAGTCAATGCTGCCCCTTATAGGACCTTGAACACAGTGGTGTACTTTAATTGGGTTGAGTTGGCAACTGGGCTGGGATGGGGCAAAAAAATAGTCCAGGGCATTTAAGATAACAGCAATCCATCGCAGAGCCACCCAACATTTTTAACATTTCTTCAATATAAGCTGCAAAGGTTAAAAAACAACATCTACTCAGTGGTTCTAAAATAATATGTACCTTTCGAGTTAAAAGTCATTTTTTTCCATTCCAAGATCCACCACCAAAAATTACACATACCGTCTTTCACTCTAATACTACTTTAGACACAGTTATACTAAACACACACTATAACACTATGAAGTCCTGTCCCACAGTCCCTATAATGCACAGAACAAAGATATCACTAGACACGCTCACGCTGCACATTTAGTTATAGCTCATTGCACACAGACGCACTCTGCCCCATGGCCCATAGGGGGCAGTCACTCTTTGTACCCTGTACTCTCCCAGCCTGCTTGTGAAGGTTTTATCTCCCTTCAATTTCTAGTGACTGTATGCCTGCCAGGTCTAGTTGCAGACCGAAGTCAAGTGTATGATTTAAACACAAGAGGCTGGAACAAATTCAAAATTCATAATTAGACCTAAAATAATTGTCAACTTCAGAGATATAAAGCTAGGACTCGGATTGGGAGGGATGGGGCAGATGTGCCCACAGACAAAGCCCCATGTGCCAAATACTCATAAGTACACCCTCTGCCTCTTCCCATCTTCCTGTCCCGTGCTTTTTCCTCGATCAGCCTCTTTATCAGAATATAATTCATGCAAGAGATATTTTGGGGAGCCAGGGATTTTGCACCTATAGGCACCTGATACATAAATCATGTAAAGTGTTCACCTGCAAAGTGTTGCTTTTCGTACGTATAACTTTGCTGTGAGGATTTTGAAGATGCTGACATACAGCGTCGTACAGGACGTACAGCGTCATTTCACAAAGTTAAACTCTGTGTAAATCGACGAAGCAGCTATAGTGTCTAGAAGACAGCCACTAGAGGAAATGTTCACTTTAATAAGATGAAGTGGTCTGGGTGTCTACAGTGTCCTTTTAAACTTCCTTTATTGAACTTTCTCTTTAAGTTAGAAATTATTATTATTTCCTGCTCTGTTTCCTTCTAGCAATGTGTGTGAATAAAGTTCAATTTACAGAGCAGGAGATTACAACTTCTAAAGCAAGTTAACATCACGTGTCAGTCACCGCCAGGGAGGTGTGGCTAGGGCTGCATAAACAGAAACAAAAGTGGATTAACTCCTAAATGGCAGAGAATTGAACAGTGAGACTGCAGGGGTAGGATATATACACTAAAAACGCTTCATTAATCTAAAGTTGTTTTGATGCCTAGTGTTCCTTTAAGGTGTCCTTAAGGTAAGTATGTGTTTTGATTATTAGTTTAACAGTTTACTTTACTTAATATTTCTTTTCATTCATGTTTTACTATGCACATCACATGTAGAAAGGAGAACTACCGTGTTCTATTTGCATAATTAATTATATTTTAAATATATATATATCCTAACTACAAGATAAGGCCAGGGACTAATGAAAGTATTTAGAAAATTGGGCAGACTAGATGGGCCGAATGGTTCTTATCTGCCGTCACATTCCATGTTTCTATATATATATATATATAAATCCTTGTTTGAAGTGCACTCACAGGACTCAGAATTATTTCAAATCGTGCTGTTTATTCAAAGCATTAAATTTACAGTAGTGTCAACGTTTCAGTCCTCCAGGGACATTTCTCAAGACCCTGGAGGTCTCAAGACCTTGAGAAAAGTCCCTGGAGAACTGAAACGTTGACACTATTTACTGTAAATTTGATCCTTTGAATAAACAGCACGATTTGAAATAATTCTGAGTCATGTGAGTGCACTTCAAACAAGGATTTATATATTTGGAGGTCGAAGTTTGCACCTGGGCAACAGACAAGACCGGGAGCAGTGAGTGCGGGACATTACGTTTATTTTATATATATATATACTTATTGCTGTTATAGTATTGTATTTTGGATGGTAAATGGAAATTAATAATAACCCTAGATCAATCAATTGTGGGGTTAATCAAAACTGGAACTTGACAAACAAATGGCAAAATATACAGGCCAATATAGTCTGTTTAGGAAAATGGTTCAACTCTACGAATTTGACAAAAAAAAACGTAGCGTTTTTGTTTCCAAGTCAACGCAAAACATTATTTAAAATTGATTTACTAAGCTCTGAATATGCTTTCAAGGATATTCATTAAATATTTATATTTTTTAAATTAAAAAAAATAATAATTTTAAAAGTTTTAAAAAAAAAATACTAAACCATTTTAAAGGCTTATCCAAAAAAATATAAAATCGTGGCCAATATTAGTGAAATATTTTGAAAGCAGGTGAGAGTCTTACCAGGAACATCTTCCGGTTCTGCTAAGAGCAATCTTCTCCATCGGGAACCTCCACAGGTGTATATCACAGCTCGGATAAATTCTCTGCCGCACAGCTTCACAAATTGTCCGTCTCCTTTAACCTCAGTAACTGCTACCAGGAGTAAGAAAAGGACACAGCCTACAGGTACAGCCCTCATACTGGAGAAAGGACACTAAAGTAAGGTACGCAATGGAATGAGAGGATAAGCGAAGGGTCTGATGTTCCGATGACATGAAAGCCATCCAATTTATAGGAATATTCGTGGCTTCCCATTGGCTGACCAGCTTCATAGTAATGTGTCAATTCCTTACAGTGCAAGAGGTTATTTGCTCTTTGAAAGCTTGTTAAAGTGCACTTAGCTAATTATTCCCGTACCAAGGGTTTTAAGGCGCATCATTTAAACTACAATTAAACACAGGAATAGGAAACTGTCCCCCATAGCTACCATCTGCCCCATGCAAATTCTTTTATGTTCTGACAATTTCTGTTATTTCATGTGGAAAATCATATAAATTCAAAGTTATTCACTTCTAAAATTAATTGTCTGAAAAAACTGCACCTGCCACCTGGCACCTGGGGTTTTAAGGTAAGATGCAATTTCTTTTTCTGGACAGGCCTGTTACAGTTTGGATCACTTGGAGGGTGCTCAGTGACAATGTCAGGTTGTGAAGACCATTGCAGCTACTCTAACATGTCAAGTTATGAAATACTTTATACATTATATTAGCACGTCCCCAGGACTGTATCCTGTAGCTTCGTTTTTAATGGAATACCATTTTTATATAGGATAAGAGCAAGCGATTGATGGACTTATTGAGTAGTACCCTGACACCACCGAGGGGGTTGGGAGACATCAGTTTGGAAGATAGCTGAATAAAATGTTAGCAAAGCCTTGAGATTAGGGATTCCGCACTACATCCAAACAGTGATTTATGTGGAATAATGCACAGATGATGTAGTTCACTTCTCTAATGTGCAAATGAGCATGATAAACAGAAGAACGAGGAGTCACGGAAGTAATAGAATGGACCCCACAGAACCCTGAGAAGGATGCCTAGGTCCACAGAACTGTGGTTAGTTCTTCAAGATGTTTGGAACAACCTACCTGTCGAGTTACTTACAAAACTGTATGAACGTGTACCTAGAGCAAATGGTGCTGTTTTAGAGGCAAAGCGTGGTGGCTACACCATATACAGATGTGATTTAGATTTTTCTTCTGTGTGAGGGTTAGGAGAAACCAGTATCGCACTTGCACTTACTTGCCAAAGCTGATTACAAATTCAAACAGTTCGGAATTATGGGTAGTAAGGTATAGCATTTTTTCAAATTTTGTCTTCATGAAAGGCATTGATCAAACAGATGGTGCAGCAATCAGGGAGCCGTGTTGCTAGGGATCAGGCGTCCACACTTGTCACCTGAAGATTTGAAGACGGACATACGGGCGTACTAATTGTCCACTCTCCCCCTTGTAGCTGCATTGGTGGTGTAGCAATTCCTCTACTATTTGCAACTAGGGATGTGGAATTCATTTCATTCCAAATCAAAATTACGATAAAATTCTCAGAATTTGTAAATTTTGTACAAAACTAATTTCCGATTTGAAAAATATAAAAAATGAAAACTAACTAATCAAAAACGAAAGAAAATTAAATACATTTTTTTGGATCCATTAATTTTAATAAGCCTGCATCCACCCATTTTTTACGCAAGATGCTACCAAGGAGCTTGTCCATGCTCTAGTAATGTCCGCATGGATTATTGTAACTCTCAACCTAATAGGTCTTCTCAAAAGCCGTATTGCTCCGCTACAGCCTGTAATGAATGCTGCAGCTAGACTGGTTTCCTCTCTAGTCGGTCCTCTCACACCTCACCCCTCTGTCAGTCCTTACATTGGCTTCTTGTATCCTATAGGAGACAATTCAAAGTGCTAACCCACACCTATAAAGCACTGAACAATTCTAGCCCCTCTTATATCTCCTCACAGATCCATAGGTATGTCCCTTCTCGGTCTCTCCGCTCTGCCCATGACCTTCTCCTGTCCACTACTCGCACCTGTATGGCCAACTAACACTTTCAGAACTTCTTGCTTGTGGCTCCCTTCATATGGAATAGTCTGCCTACCGCCATCAGTGGAGAAGCTCCTTCTAGATGTGCCAGCCTAGTTTGAAGTTCATAAATCACAAAAATGTGCATGCATACTCCTGCCCACAAGATGTCAGCTTTGTGTACCATACTGCTTGTCATTTGCTGTTGGGGCATGATAAGCCTGCATATTTCTATCTGGACTGAAAAAAATAAAGAATTAAGAAAAAACAAAAACCCATCTCTTTAGGAAAGCTTATGGCCTCCCAGAGTAACCTCTACCTCACATACCTGTCCCTTGCTCTCTCCTAAAGGGCATCACTCTACTCTTAGCCTGCCTCACTCCAACCTTATTTGATTGCTATTCCCTGTCCTAATGTGGTTTACACCCCACCTCCTATAGACTGTAAGCTCGTTTGAGCAGGGTCCTCTTCAACCTATCGTTCCTGTAAGTTTTCTTGTAATTGTCCTATTTATAGTTAAATCCCCCCCTCTCATAATATTGTAAGGCGCTATGGAATCTGTTGGCGCCATATAAATGGCAATAATAATTATAATAATAAGTATACCAGATTAGGGAGTTACACTAAACAGATGAAAAGATCAAAATTAAGAAAATCCCTTTTCTTAATATTGCTCTTTCAGTGATTAACTCCCTAATTTGGTAACCTAACATGGGGGGCTGTAGCGTGTGTGTGTGTTTCTGGGTTGTAAAGTATGTGTGTGTCTGTATGTTTATAGGGCCTGTGGAGTGTGTGGGCCTAGGGGCTGTAGCGTGTGTGTGTGTTTCTGGGTTGTAAAGTACTTGTGTGTGTGTATGTTTATAGGGCCTGTGGAGTGTGTGGGCCTAGAGGATGTAGTGTTCGCATGTAAGGGCTGCCTGTACTGTGTGTTTGTGAGTGTATCTAGGGGCTCTAGCGTGTGTATGCATATAGGGGCTGTAGAGCACATGTTGATATGTGCGGTCATTTATGCATAGGTGGTGTAGTGTGTACAGGGGGTGTAGAATGTGTATTTATAGGGGATATAAATGAGTGTATGTGCATGCAGGGGGTGTAATGTGTGTGTTTATAGTGGTATAAAGTATGTGAGTGCAGGGAGTGTAGTGTGTGTTTAGGGGGTACAGAGTGTGTTTACTGTGTGTATGTGAGTGTCGGGGTATAGTGTGTATATAAGGGGTATAGAGTGTGTGTGTAGTGTTTTTGTATGAGTGCACGGGGTGTAATGTGCATACAGGGAAATTGAGTGTGTGTAGTATTTATAGAGGGGTATAGCGTCGGTGCAGTGTGTAAGTGCAGGATGTGTATTGTGTATATAGAGGTATAGAGTGTGAGTAGTCTGTTTGTATGTTAGTGCAGGGGTGCAATATGTTTGTGTGTTAGTGCAGGGGGTGCAGTTTGTGTAGTGTGTTTGTGTGTTAGTGCAGGGGTGCAGTGTGTTTGTGTGTTAGTACAGGGGGTGTAGTTTGTTTGTGTGTTGGTGCAGGAGGGCTGTATGTTTGTGTGTTAGTACAGGGGGTGCAGTGTGTGCAGTGTTAGTGCAGGGGAGCAGTATCTTTGTGTGCTAGTACATGGGGTGCAGTGTGTGTACTGTGTTTGTGTGTTAGTGCACGGGAGCAATATGTTTGTGTGTTAGTGCAGGGGGTGCAGTGTGTTTGTGTGTTAGTGCGGGGGGTGCAGTGTGTGTAGTGTGTTTGTGTGTTGGTGCAGTGTTAGTGCAGGGGAGCAGTATGTTTGTGTGCTAGTACATGGGATGCAGTGTGTGAACTGTGTTTGTGTGTTGGTGCAGGAGAGCAGTATGTTTGTGTGTTAGTGCAGGGGGTATAGTGTGTGTAGTGTGTTAGTGGAGGGGAGCAGTATGTTTGTGTGCTAGTACATGGGGTGCAGTGTGTGTACTGTGTTTGTGTGTTAGTACAGGGGATGCAGTGTGTGCCGTGTTAGTGCAGGGGAGCAGTATGTTTGTGTGCTAGTACATGGGGTGCAGTGTGTGTACTGTGTTTGTGTGTTAGTGCAGGGGAGCAATATGTTTGTGTGTTAGTGCGGGGGGTGCAGTGTGTGTAGTGTGTTTGTGTGTTAGTGCAGGGGGTGCAGTGTGTATGTGTGTGCAGTATGTGTAATGTTTTAGTGCAGGGGGTGTAGTGTGTGTGTGTTAGTGCAGGGGTAGCAGTGTGTGTAGTGTGTTTGTGTGTGTATGTGAGGGGGTGCAATGTGTGTAATGTGTTTGTGTGTTAGTACAGGGCAGCAGTATGTTTGTGTGTTAGTACAGGGGGTGCAGTGTGTTTGTGTGTTAGTGCAGGGGAGCAGTATGTTTTTGTGTTAGTGCATGGGATGCAGTGTGTGTATTTTGTTTGTGTGTTTGTGCAGGGGAGCAGTATTTGTGTGTGTTAGTACAGGGAGTGCAGTGTGTGTAATGTGTTTTTGTGTTAGTGCAGGGGAGCAGTATGTTTGTGTCTTAGTGCACGGGGTGCACTCCCTTTTATAACTTGGCAGGGAGGAGAGGGAGCATGCAGATATCTGGTGGTCCAGTGAGAAGGGGCCACGCCACACACAGATCTCTGGTACAGGGTACAGACCACGTCTCTCTCCCTCTCGCGAGCACCGTTTATTCAGAGCATTGCCACAGGTTACCATGGCAACGCTCTGCTAATCTCGGAGCTAGCGAGAGGGAGAGAAGGAGGCTGCACACATGAAGGGTGTCCAGCTCAGTGCCTGATCTCCCCTCTGGCCCATGATGGGACAGAACTCTATTTTGGGGCTGGTGGTGCCCTGGATCTCTTGAACTTTTCTGCCGGCCTCGGCCCATGGCCATCGCGGCCCACCAGGCATTTTCCTGGTTTGCATGATGGCCAATCCGGCAGTGGTGTATCCTGGTTTTGTGCTGCCCTAGGCAGGACAAAACTCAGGCACCCCCAAACCCCCCACGCGTGCGACCCACCACCCATCCCTTCCCCCCTGCCCTGCCTTCTAAATACACACACACACACACATTCACTGACAGATACGCATACTCTAGCTAACAGAAACACAAACTCACTGACACATACAGACACTCACTCACTAGCAGACACACACTAGCAGACACACACACACTCACTGACACACACACTCACAAGCAAACATACACACACAGTCAGACACACACACACACAAACACACTCACTCACTAGCAGACACAATCACTCACTCACTAGCAGACACACACACTCACTAGCAGACACACACTAGCAGACACAAATACTCACTGACACACACACTCACAGGCAAACACACTCACACTAACAGTCAGACACACACACACTAACAGTCAGACACACACACACTCACTAACAAACAGACACACACACTAACAGACACACTCACTGACAGACACAGACACACTCACTCACAGACACACACACTAACAGACACTCACACACACACTCTAACAGACACACTCACACACACACTAACAGACACACTAACAGACACACACACTCACTAACAGACACACTCACTGACAGACACAGACACACTCACTCACAGACACACACACTAACAGACATACTAACACAAACACACACTAACAGACACACACTAACAGACACACTAACAGACACACTAACACACACACTAACACACACACACACAGACACACACACACTAACAGACACACTCACATTAACACATTTATTTTTTTTAACCCCCTCTCTCCCTGGTGGCCCAGTGGCTGCTGGGCGCTGGGCGGGCGGCTGGCAAGGGAGCTCTTCCTCTGAGCTGTCTGCTCAGCTCCCTCGCGCGCCGCAGAGTGAGGCTGGGAGCCGGAAGATGACGTCATATTCCGGCTCCCAGCCTCACTTGGCGGCGCGCGAGGGAGCTGAGAGGACAGCTCAGAGGAAGTGCTCCCTCGCCAGCCGCCCGCCCGCTCGGCATGTCTGTTAGCTGCGAGGCTAATAAGACATTTGCCCCTGGCATTTGGGGACGCCCCCTAGAAAATGCCGCCCAAGGCAAATGCCTTGTTTGCCTCGTGGCTAAAACGCCCCTGCAATCTGGACCTGGCAGACAGGACCAGGTTAACATAGAAACTGATGGAGCAATAGCTCCAGGCCCATGGAATAGGCCTATTGATTATTAAGAAACCTTTTCCCAGACTTTATAACATGAGCTTCTGCCTGCTAGTAAGAAGGTAAGGAGAGGAGCGGACAAGTGATTGCATGTATTTGCGCCAAACTCATGACATCGTAGTAACCCTTTACGCCAGCCTGCATGATTTGCAGGCAGCCTGACATGCATCCACGCCAGGCTGACCTTCCAATTCTTCAGGCAGACCCGCTCCCTTTCTGGGCATGTTTGCCTCTTTGGGCAGTGACAATTACGTGATTTGCGTCTATGGCCCTCCCTATACCCCGACCACCAACAAACTGAATCACTGGACTCTGCTGTTAGGGAGTATGTATTTGCTTGAGAGATGAAACCGAGAGACTAGCATGGGGCTGGGACGTCCAACATGCGGCCCACTAGCAATTGCCCCCCAGGCCGCCCTAGTGGCAGGTCCGATGACGTCACGCCGCAACACAACTCCTTCCTGCATTCCCCTGCCTGCGGTACACAGAAGAAGGAGAAAAGAAGAAAATGAAAGAAGGAGACTAGCTGAAGGAAAGGAAAGGAGAGCAGAGCAGAAGGAGAAGGAAAGGAAAGGAGAGCAGAGCAGAAGGAGAGCAAAAGGAAAGGAGGAGAAAACAGAAATAGAGCAAAAGGAAAGAAGGTGAAAGCAAAAAGGTAAGGGGGGAAAGCTCATGGAGAGCAAAAGGAAAAGAGGGGAAAGCAGAGCAGAAGGAGAGCTAAAGGAAAGAAGGGGAGAGCAGAAGGAGTCAAGGAAGACAGTGTCAGAAGAAGGCAAAGATAGGAGATTGGAGCAGGAAGGACAACGTGGAAGACAAGTGATCCCTCCACTTCATCCTGGACACTGGGCTGAGGCTTTGGCACCTGACAGGCAGACCTTGGACCCTCTCATTATCCCAGGTAAAATAAAAAATAACAAATCTATCAATGTATTCACTTTTTTGATTATATGAGATGTAGACATATTGGTTATTTTAAAGGTAAACACTGTTTACCATAACAATTTAATCTAAATGAAGTTGTTATGGTGCCAGTAGGCCCCCAGGCGCTCTATTGACTTAATGGGTTAAAACCTATCCTAGATTTTCAGGTCCCCCAGCAGGAACCAGCTTCTAAAACTGAGTTTTAGAAAGGTCAGGGTGCCGCTGCGTAATGACGCCGCAGATTTGGTATGGCAAAGAGCTACTGATTTGAATAACCTCAATATCCATTAGAAAAGCTACAATTTCTGGGGAAATTGTGTGAAGTGTTCTTGCCTCCACCAGTAGTCTACAACTAGGGATCGAGCGATTATCGGTTTTACCAATATTATCGGCCGATATTCGGTATTTTCGGCAATATCGGTATCGGCCACTAAAGATAGCGATATTGCCGATACTGATAGAGTGAGAAATGCATTTCAACTTTTATTTATTTATATAGCACATTTAATTGCAACGTTGTTGCCCAAAGTGCTTCACAGTTACATTAAAACATACATTTATAAAAACATTAGCAGGTGTACATCACTTGCTGCTCCAGCCCGGCACAGGTCAGAGTATTTTGGCAGTTCCCATCTTCAAACGGTCGTATTTTAAAAACTATAAATCCTACAGCGAAGAGCTTTATATTGTGAGAATCACAAGACCCAGACCTACATTTTGCATAGTATGTCTCTGATATATTATAAATGAAGGCACAGTCGCAGTTTAGAAATTGCCCTTCAAATTTGAGCGGGCTAGAGTGGAGTTTCAATGAATGTCAATGGATGGCGTGAGTTGCAAACAAATGGTCATATCGTGAAAACTATCAGGACTATGGCTTAGCTGTGGATATTTTTTTGTGGCAGCAGGGATAGCTGAACGTTTTGATATAAGATTTGTGTAGGTGGGCTTAAAAATGAGGGAGTGGTGGCAGTTTAAAAATCGTCCTGATTTTTCAGCTTTTGCCAGCTCCCACTAGTTTTGAACATTTTGCCATTCATTCCTATGGGACCAATTACGCCACAAGAACGATGATATTCCGTGAACCATTAGGCGAAACGTTCCACAAAGTAATAGAAATCCAATGGGGAACAATCTGCACATTTCGGTATATTACTGTCTATGTAGTGTAAAAACTGTGGGAGGAGTTAGGGTGGTAAATTTGGCTATAATAAGAATAAGAATAATATATATGTGAGATAACATTAAGTGGTCTTGCTATGCAAGAACACTTAATTATAAAACCAGGAAAAAGTGGGCATGGATGGTGAGCTGATTCAGTGGTGCAATGGGCCACTTGACTGGATTTGCCCCGCAGGCCCAAGGCTGCCAGCCCTCCACTGGCTGTGGACCACAGTAGATGAGCTTTTATTTCCTGTTCCTGGTCTGACAGGAAGTGCTCACAGAGAGCATCGAACTGCTTCCTGTCAGACTGGGTTAAGGGAAACATAAGCTCCTCTACCGCAGTCCGCAGCTTGGTCACGCTACAATTAACCCCCCACCTTGATGTCTGGCAGGCTGCAAGTTGGAAGCCCAGCCCTATGCTAATCTCTCGGTTTCCTCGGTCAGGCAAATCCATATTCCCTAACAGTGATGCCGGATGTTGGTGGGCGGAGTAAAAGGGTTACACGAATCACGTAATTGTCACTGTGCAAAGTGGCACCCAGAAAAGGAGCTGATCTGTGTGAAGTATTGGAAGGTCAGCTTGGTGTGAATGCATGCCAGGCTGCTTGTCAACCATGCAGGCTGGCCTAAGGGTGTATTATGAAGGCAGCACCATGAGCTTGGCGCAAATGCGTTTAATGGTGCTCTCGCTCTACTCTTTCTAAGGACTGTCCCCCAGCACTCACTTGTCTACTCCTCTCCTTCCGTTCTTACTAGCAGGCAGAAGCTCCTGTTATACAGTCTGGGACAGAACAAAAGTGGGAAGTGTAGAAAAAAGGGGACATGCCACAGTGTTAGAGAGAGTATTCACAGAGTGTGCTAAGCAGGGCCGCC